TGTTCGTTGTTCACCCTGTGGTCGCGTCCCTCCTTTCGAACCTCTAAAATAGGCATCTGGGGCACAGTATGTGGTGACAACTGGGACCTTGCTAATGCTGAAGTTGTGTGTCGGCAGCTTGGTTGTGGTTCAGCCTCTCAGGCTCTCAGAGGCACTCATTTCCAAAATGGGACAGGACCCACCCATATGTATGAAGTGAAATGCTCAGGGCACGAATTGTATCTATGGGACTGTCTGTTCAAGAGGAGCCATGATTGTGGACACAAAGAAGATGCCGGTGTGATTTGTTTAGGTTTGTGAATGGAACTTAACTAAATTTCTGTTGTTTGTGTTGATGTTTAATTAATTAATTCATTCATTGGGGTTCAGGCATGGATATGGGACCCAGATTTTTTTATTTTATTTATTTATTTTATTTGGTTTGCCAAACATGGACAAGATAACCGGTATAAGTATAAACATGGATAATATTTACAGACAATAAAAGGAAATAAGTACAAATAAATGAGGACAATAGGACAAGGATGGTAGCAGGGGTGGGTTCCTGCCAGTTCTAATCTCTTCTATAGAAGAGGTTCCAGAAATCTACAGTGTCAAGTCTTAGAGCTGTCAAGTTTGAACACCCCTGAGTTTTTTTCTAAAGGGTTAGTGGTGCAAGGGTCTTGTAACTTGACAGCTTTAAGACTTGCGTGCTTCAAATGCCAGAGTTTTTGAGCCAACATTTTGGTTGCTAAGCAAGAGCGTTGTTAAGTGAGTCTCATCACATTTTACAAGTTGGCCATGCCCACCCAGTCACATGGCCGGCAAGCCACTCCCACCCAGTTACATGGCTGTCAAGCCACTCCAACAAAGCAGACCACACCTATAGAAGAGGTTCTAAAAACTTTTGAAACCCACCACTGGATGGTAGGCACGCTAGTGCGCTTATGCACGCCCCCTTTATGGACCTCTTAGGAATGGGATGAGATCCACGGTAGATAGTTTGAAGTTGAAGCTGTGGGGGTTTGAGGATGTAACAACAGAGTCAGGTAGAGCATTCCAAGGGTTGACCATTCTGTTGCTGAAGTCATATTTTCTACAATCAAGTTTAGAGCAGTTAACCTTGAGTTTGTATCTATTGTTAGCACCGATTGCTTATGTTGGTGACCTATGGCAGGACAGGATAGGAGAAGTGTAACTCTCCCCACCCTCTGCACAACATCCAATACCATATGTCATAATATTCTTTTGGATTGCCTACGGGGGGGATAAGTGTGGGGAGCACTGTTCTACATGGATTCCTTTCTTCCCTGAGCAGTTGGTTTCATTACTTCCACTAGTGCAGTGGTTCTCAGTCTTTTCTTCACCACAGACCCCCCTTTAAAATACCTTTTGTGGCCATGGACCACAAAGACTCAAGATTTAAATCATAATATTTCTTCAAGCCTTTGTGGCCCCTTGGGGTCTGCCAACTACAGGTTGGGAACCACTGCACTCGTGGATGGATGAGAGTCAAGTGTAGAGGCTCTGTATCGTGGGTTCCTGAGGGCTCTACCCTCATCTCCAAATTATTTAACAGCTACATGAAGAAATTCATTATCCATGGAATTGGATAATGGATAATTGGAAAAATTCATTATCCATGGAATTGTCCTTGAAGACCATCTACAGGTAAAAACTTCAGCTGGCCCAAAATGCATCAATCCAGGTTGTAACCAGTTTGACTCATTGCCTCTACATAACTCCTTTACAGGAGCTGCACTAATTATCAACATGCTGTTGTGTGCAATTTAAGCTGCTGGCTATCACTTTTAAAGCCTTCCGTGGATCAGAATCTTTGTATCTGTGAGACTGCATGCACTATACAGAATTTGCCTGTTCCATGAATTGCAAAAGGGAGGATGTAGGTTCCTAAACCAAGGTAAATCCAGGACTATCCCTAGAGTTGAAACTGCACTACTTTATCAATAAAGTGTACTGATGTCATCTTAACCCATAGGTAAAATCCTTTACAGAGATTTGTCTGAAGATACAAAGGTCTCACTCTCAACAGAGATGGGTCATCAAAGGAGCCTCACATTCACTTCTTCAAAGATTCAAATACTGTAGAAGGCCTAAAGAGGAAAGATAGTGGCTTTGAATTAGATGTGGGTGCAGCTCTATAAAGAGACTTGCTGGAGACAAAGAAGATTCTCTGCCATGACAACCAGGAGATAAGCATTGATATCAATTCCCCACTAAAGTGTCTTCAGAAAAGACATAGACCTAATAATAGGAGAAGATGAGATTATGGTGTCATTTAATGTTACATCACTCTCTACATCTATAGACCAAGAACTAGCAAAATAATCCATGGCAGCAGTACTACACAATGTATCCAATCTAACCAAATATACTAAGATTGAAAAACCCAGAATCATAGATCTCATCAACTTTTGCCTCACTAGCTATTTTCAGTTTGATAGACAAGTACAGCAATATATTAGAGGATCACCCTTGGGCTCACACTCTCAGGACTCATAGCAGAGACAGTAATGCAGTTTAGAAACTATAGCATTCCCACACATATAACCCAAAGTATGGATCCAGTATATAGATGACACCTTTGTAGTAATAAAAAAGGAATAATTAGAGAAGACACATGAAACAATCAGCATGGTCTTCAAAGGATTAAATTCACAAGGGAAGAAGAAAACAACACATTCCCTTACTGGATGTCCTTATCAGCACAGGAAATGGCAGAAAATTAGAAACAGATCTCTATCAAAAATTCACCCACACTAACAAAGTGCTTCACTGTCAAAGTAACAATTCAACCTCCTGCAAGAGGAGCTGTGTAAGAACTTTATTCGATGAACACAAACTCACTGGAGCAACCCAGACCACCAGAAAAAGTAAAACAGATCATCAATACAACATCTTCCAATAAAATGGATACACATATAACTTTATCAAAAAAATGCCTGACCAATCAACCCATTACGACACAGTCAATGCAAACTATAAAAAGGATAACACTGTCATATGTCAAAATCATCTCATCAACCAACAGACAGCTTAGTATAGCACACTACCTAAAGCTTCCAAAATACCTTGTAAACCAAAAGACCCAGTAGCCCTAAAATAAAAAACAGGAGCCATCTATAACTTAGAGTCAAAGGACAAACAGACACTAAATAGGACAAGCAGGCAGAAGACTAACAGAGTATGTCCATGAACACCAACTAGCAGTCAGAAGATTATTTAAATTAGATTTGTAGCTATTTTAATTAAAAATTAAAGTTGCCAAGGTTGGAGACCACTGCACTAGAGTATAAGTGGAATGGGAAAAAAAACACAATCAGACTCTCAAGATTTTGGAGAAACTAAGCTGAGATGATGGTTTCAAGAACATGTTTCCTGAGAAAAAGAGAAAGCGTGAGAAAGAAACTGAGACTGACTACTCACTAATTCACTAGTATAAAAGGGAGGGAGAGGAAAACTCATTCAGGGTTTCAAGATTCTGTTGCTATAACCTATCTCAATAAAGTCTAGTTCCAGTCATTCGTGGAGTCTTTTTTTTTCTGTCCTAACTTACCTCAGAGATATCATCAATATGCAGATGATACTCAGTGTTACATTTGTACTTCAGAATGTGTGGGTGATACAATAAAAGTCTTGACCAGTGTCTGGTGGCTGTATTGGTCTTGATGCAGAAAAACAAGTTAGTAAGATAAGGCAGTTATGGCTTCAGAAGCAGGGAGACAGGGTGCCATCTTTTGCTCTGGACAAAGATTTGTGGTCAAATATCACTGCTTAAAATGGCAAAGCTGGCTGAGGAACTCTGGGAGTTGAAGTCCACAAGTCTTAAAGTTGCCAAGGTTGGAGACCACTGCTCAAGTGAATTGGGGAGTAGTAAGCCTCCTCTAAATACTCTCTCCCTTCCCAGGACATAAAGAATGCTTCTGTCTTTTTGTTTGTTTGTTTATGTGATGGTTTCTGGATATTTGCTTCAAGGTCACCCCTCTAGGTCTCTACACCCATTAGAAGAGCTCTGCAGCTTATCTAGTTCCCCTCCACCTCAACTGATCACAGAGATGGATACTATAGTCAATGGTATTAAAGGCAGCACAGGATCACTCTCCCCCTTTTAAAACCTCCTCATCAGTAACCTGCAAGAGTGACAATGTGGGTTCAGTTCCCAACTTTCCATGCTCAGGTTTCAACCCTGACTGAAAAGGATCATGATCAACTTGTAAGCCTCCAGGAAAATTACATTCCTTTTACATTTATTGTATCCTTGCTGGCCTTATGGTTGTGATATTTTATTATTCAGGTTGTAGAACTCTACATTTCTCTCTTGAATTTCATCTGGATAGCTTTGGGCCCAGAGTTCCATCTGTCAGAATTGTTTTGAATTCTGTCTTTGATTCTGCATTTTGTACTGTTAGTCACTTAGTTCTGTGTCATCTGCGAATTTGATAAATGTCCCCAGGTTGCTTTATTTCAAGTCTAAATACAACACAAAACCTAAGACAGATCTTTGGCATGCTACTTGCGTTGATGCAAGCTGATATTTATTAAGTGATACAAGCTGAGGCATGTGTTGAGCATTTGGGGATAATGGCAATTCAATCAACCATGTCTCTTGCTAACAGTAATATTGTCCATCCTGCACTTAAGGTATCTTTTCGCACAATACATGCATTGTTTTGCGTATTGGCTTTGTGTCCCTGTGGCATCATTCCTGTTCATCCCACTACTTGGCACTTAGGCTGCAGCCATTCTAGCGGGCCTTTCAAGAGGAAAGGTGGCCTGACAGTTCTTAAGCCCTGAGAGGAACTGACAGGATTTTGTGGCAGACAGTCAGATGAATAAAATGTGAAGTAATCAGGCTGGAGGACTACAGGTAAATAATTTTCTTTACCTATAATATGAAGCGGGGTGTTTTTAAATTTTATTTTATTTTTTGCCACTGCAGAACCTGTGAGTATCCATGCTCATTCTTGCTCTTTGTTTCCACACTTCAGGTTAGCAGAATTAAAGGCATAAGGAAACAGGGGACGCGTGGCTGTGCCCTTAAAAGAAAAGGAAAAGAGAAGAACACAAAAGCAGGGAAGATTAATAGAAGCAGATAGATAAAATAAGGGCAAATGGCAAGGATTAAGTTAAATGGCAGAGGCATCAATGCATTCTCTTCTGGCTGCTTGCTTATCAGTGCTGTAGGAGGATAATTATGATTTGGGGGGGGGGCTACAGTATATAACTCATACCATGAAGCTGTTTGTTTTTTCTGGAAAGGGCACTTGAGATGCCACTTGGCAACTGTCTTACCATCACCATCTGCAGATGTCCTAACTGTGTGACAGGTTAGCCAATGTAGCTTGTTTGGAAAGTGAGAAACCTGCTATCCTATTAGCTATTGTGATCTGCAGGAGGTTTCAGCTGGCTTTGATTGGAAAGGTTGTTTTCTTCCATATCTCTGATGTGCTTCATTCCTTTATTGATTCTGATCTATTGATTCTGATCTTACAACAATGTTCATGATGCAAAACCCATGCACGCTCTGTAATTCTGAGTCTCTGAGATATGGGCTGGGGTTAAGGTTTGCTTTCCTCAGGAGAATTCTGCTTCTTATTCATGCACACATTTTTATCTTAGAATATACAGTCTTGGCAAGCTAAGTCTCTCTTTATTGATCTAAATTTGAAACTAGTTGGTGAAGATGATGGAACTTGTGGAGACCGCCAAATTAACTTATTTGATTAAAGAAAGTAAACCGTGGCTACATTTCTTACCCCTTATAGACTTTTTGAATAAAAATGAAAAAAAATCACTTATGATTTGTGGATTAAAAAAACAAACTTGAATAATAGGAAAGAGGGAACTTTCTTTTCAGAAAGAAAGTAATTGGGAGTAAGAGATAATTTGTACTTCTATTTGCTGCAGAAAATTCTGCTTTCTATTTCTTTCTTTCTGCATTTTGACTTTTTTCTTTTTTCTGCTTGTCTGTCTTTACCTGTTATTGGTTTGTGTTAGTTTTTATGCTCATTGTAAAAATTTCAATAAAAACCTGACATTGATTCACTTCTTCGGTGTTAAATGATTTTGTTTTTTAATTTTTTTGTATCCTTTTATAATTTCAGGCTCACTGGCTAACCAGACGCCTACAGATTCAACAGAAAGAGAAACTGTGACTTCAGTCTCCCATCTACCTAGTCTCAGTAAGTAAAATCTCTTTAAAGTACTTCAACTGCACACCATGTAATTGCTTAAAGAAAGTCCTTGTAGATTGCCTGCTTACTAAGAGCTTACTACATGCTAATTCAATTTGAGCAGTGTTTTTTATTCTTCTCTTTCTCAACTATATCTTTAGGCTTAGTCCCAATTCATCTTAGTTGTATAAACAGCCAGAAGCAAAATTCCAATCTGACTGACATTTGGCAGTAGACTGAATCAGTAGTTCATAAAATTTGCATTACAATGATCCCTAGAATAATAAATGCATGTGTACAACTCCCTAAATCAATATACAGGTAGTCCTCAGCTTACAACAGTTTATTTAGCTATGGTTCAAAGTTACAACAGGACTGAAAAAAGTGACTTATGGCCGTTTGTCACACAACCATTGCAGCATCCCCATGGTTACATGATGATAATTCCGATTCTTAGCAACTGTTCATCTTTATAAAGGTTGCAGTGTCCTGGGGTTATGTGATCAGCTTTGGCAATCTTCTGACAAGCAAAGTCAATGAGGGAATCCAGATTTTTCTTAACAACCATACTACTAGCTTAACAAATACAATGATTCGCTTAACAACTGTGGCAAGAAAAGTCGTGAAATGGGACAAAACTCACTTAACAAATGTTTCACTTAGCAACATAAACTTTAGGCTCAGTTGTGGTCCTCACTTGAG